TTTTAAAGCAAAGTTGGGGTTGATTTCAAGTTCACATTCAAACATAAGTAGAATAGGCTAATTAAATTTGTCTATTTTAATGTAAGACAACATATTTTTCGTCAGTGATAGAAATATGATTTAAGACGGTAGTGTAAGCAAGTTTAGTTTGAAAATGTTTAATAGTAAATAAAACACAATTAAACAATATTTGTTGAATTATCTGGGGAAATGACTTAGTTACTACATTTCTATTGCTTTCCATGTTAAATAACTTTGTGTTGTTTCTATTTTAATGTACTTTTAAAGTTTAAATCACATTAAAAGCTTAATTTGTAATTATGAGTGAATGATGATGCATTTATATACCGTCACCGTCACTCACAGCCGCTCGCACGTGTTTTGCGCACGAGCCGCACGCAGCCCAAAAGTAAACTACTTAATCGACCGTCGATAGCTTTAATCGATTGCATTTCTTATCGACAATTAATCGATCATCGATTAATTGTTGACATCCCTAATCGTGATAACTTTGGTCACTATAATCGTGATATGAAATTTTCATACCGTTACATCCCCAGTAGTCCGGCATGACCAAGACTTTCAAGGAAAAGCAGATTTCATTCAGTCCAGTTTGAATTCCACTAAAGGGTCATTATCATAGCAATAAAGGGACGACACCGAGGGTACATCTGTGTCCTTGGAGCACTGACACATGGGTCAGGGATCAAATGTCAGGGGGTCACAGCTTACCTCTGGGTTCCTCTGCCTGCTTGGCCAGCTTGCGGAGAGCTGCGGCAAATCCCGAGTGGGCGGACTGAGATGCAGGACTGCCATTGGTCACAATAGAACTGTTGAGGGGAGATGGGGTGAGGGGACTGACTGTCGCTGTGGTGCGGGTCGCTGTGGAAATCATGCCTAATGATGGTGACTTTGGCTCATGGCTCATGCCTGAAGGAGACAGAGAAACAGAGTGCGATATTAGAAACAATAAACAGGATACATGGACCCCAACAATGACGGGTTGACTCATTGAGGATGTAAACAGCCTGACACAAAAAACACTGTCTGACCCTAACAGCTGCAGGACAGAGTAGAAGAAGAAGAGGTCAAAGATTATGCCCAAGGTCAGCTTGTCTGTCCACCAGCATTCAATCCTAAAAGATTCCTACAATCCTAGGCTAAAATCCACAGTCTTTGATCGCTGGTTTGACATGTTAACTGACAGCCAATTAATGGCCGTTGTGATCAAATTTTACCCCTGACGAAATTCTGGCAGCGTTAGAAGATTTGGCACACAGTCCTACAGTATGATGTCTCCTACGACGAATGTCAAACTGTCTTCGTTTTTCAAGACAAGCCATGGTCAGAATTAATGCTAGAGTTTTCTTCTAACGCTCCTGTTCACGGAATTCATATGATATGTTGCCTTTGCTATAATAAACACCGGATGTGCCGCTGTTTTCATGTGGGTGTGGTGCTGATTACACTATTCTTCTTAAATACGCCGCTATTGCCGCCATTCATATACTTTTCATGATAGCCAACATCATGAATGTGTGTAATGCAGCTCACAGTCACTGAACTTGTATGGACTGATAATGTAAAACTCTGGACAAGTTTTCTTGTGCGCACCCGTTTTTAACGCATCTTGACTGTCGTACAGTCTGACATTAATGACAACTGAGATCCCACAGTGTGACATGATCATCATGTTTGTACAGTCTGACAAGCAACAATCGTAAAGGACTATTAAAATTCGCACAGTGTGCGCCCGGCTTAAGAATAGAGGAACACAGGCCTGAGACAGACATGTAGTACCTACTGCATACTAAAATGTGATAATATAGAATAACAATTTTGATATTATTAAAATTAAAAAAAAAAACTACAGGGGCTTAGACATCCATCTAATATGTAGTCAAGCTCACTAATCAGCTAGTTGACAATCACAACCCTGAAAAACAGCAAAAGTGCAGCAGTGTTTGTGTAAGAATCTTGGTGTAATCTTTGATGACCAGCTGACCTTCAAAGACAGATCAGGCCCTTCCTAACGGAGCATGCTGCACAACTTCTTGTCCAGGCCCTTGTCATTTCTAGGCTGGACTACTGCAATGCTCTTCTGGCTGGACTTCCATCAAGCACAATCAAACCTCTACAAATGATTCAGAATGCAGCGGCATGACTAGTCTTCAACGAGCCCAAAAGAGCCCATGTTACACCTCTCTTTATCTCCTTGCACTGGCTACCGGTTGCGGCTCGCATCAAGTTCAAGACATTGATGCTTGCATATAGAACAGCCACAGGCTCAGCACCTGCCTACTTCCACTCACTACTACGAATCTACAGGTGCATCTCAATAAATTAGAATGTCGTGGAAAAGTTCATTTATTTCAGTAATT